ACCCGCTGGCTCCAATTACTGGAACTAGCGTGCCTAACGTTGGTGCCAATGCACCGAACCCTGCAGCAATTGCTGGAGCAGCCAATCCTGTTATCAAAACAAGTTAAGAGTTAGCATTTTCCAAACACAAACTCTTAATTTCCAAAGTGTGGGAACGGAGTTATCAACAGTTAGAAGACAACGTACCACCAGTGATGGCCATCAAAGTACCCCCTGTTAAAGCAGCCGCTCCAACGATGCCTCCACGCTTCCATTTAGCCCATTCACTATCTGGTGACAGAGACTCTTCTTCCTTATTTTCGCTTGATTTTTGCAATGCCATGGCAGAGCATGCAGACATTGTCTCAACTGCTTCCTAGAAAATACGGAAATAGATTCTCAGCACAATCCAAATGCACAACAATCCTAAATCCCACACATGCAAATGTCATCAGATCCTAAATTCCCAACAAGATTGCTAATATAGAACTATGAGGTTCCTATGTGTGATAGCATAAAATTTGGCGTAATTTGAAAGAATGAATGAAGCATACAAACCACTTTAATCCATTTAATGTCAAACCAAGTTGCAAGTAACCGCAGAGCAACGTGGTGACGAGCATCATAGCCTTTCCTACTCCGTGTACATTTCTCGTTCTCCTCATGTTTATCTGCCAGGCAAGCAGAAAGTAGCTCGTAAAGAACATTTATCTTCCTATCATGGCTAAGCAATGCTACTTCCTCAACAGGTTTCTCATCTTCAACAGTCCCAGGATTGTGGCCTCCATCTTTAACCTCATCCTCACCGTGACTCTCTGTTTCCTTAACCGCATCACCAGATTGCGCCTCGGGAACAGAATACTTCTCGCGGCATTCGTTTTCATATTCCACATGTTTTTCCATCTTAGCTTCCACAGATTCAGAACCTTGCTTAATACTCTGAACCATAGCTTCAGCAGCTTTAGCTAAGGCGGTCTCTTTCTCCACCATTTCACTAGAATCATCAGATTCACTCGCATCCTCTGAGAGTAACTTGATGAGCTACAATAAACCAAAAAAGTAGTAGAAGACAATGAAGAAAGGCTCCTCAACACATATAAACGAATTTCCAAGATACGGAGTGTAATCGCTTCATACCGAACCGATGTGATGCTTCGCCGGAGAAGAAGCAGCTATTTCCTCAAGGCCATGCCAAGCTGAGGGATCAATCTGAAGACATCTGAAATCGAATGACAAAAGACAGCTCAAAATATATACACACAGATGATTTCGTCAGTGATCACCGGAATCTAAGAAACGGTGTCGTTTTTTGGATGGGATTACCTGAAAACGGGTCGGAGAAGACCAGAAACCTCGTGAACCCAGAGATCAGCGTCATCGGAGATAGGATCATCACCATTACTGCTGCCGGTGCTGATTGGCTCTCCGATCCGTTGATTCTCAGACTCACCGTCGCTTACGCCGTGATCGGTGCTCGGGATTCCGAGTGGCTTCGTCTGGCTGATCTGCGCTTGGTTTAGCGCGATCGCAAACAATGCGCTTGCCGCGTATCTCTGCGACGGCGTCAAATTCGACGTAGCTTCTTCTTCTTCTTCCACCATCAAATCAGATTATCGAACAACAAAATCGAAAATCGAAGAAACAACAACGAAAGGTTTCCAAATACGAAAACGATCAATCGAAGAGAGCGAGTTCGTCTCATTCCCTAATCTGTAATGATTCAAACAAGTAAAGCCGTTTTTGAATCAAAGAAACTCAGAGCCTACACTTGTCAGCA